GTACTGAGCATGTTCCTTCATTCAAAACCAACAGCCTCTATAGCAGTAGAGAATATGAAGAGATATCAAAATGCAAGGAACATGACTTTTTTTTTCCTTTGACTTCACTTGCTGCATACTTGTTTCAGATCCATTACTCAGAAAGTATTAAAGCCATTAGATCAGCATAATGGGCAACAGTAATGACTTTATTTTCTTTAGGTGGTTCAGATCGGAGGGCAGTCGGGTATAAATGGGCAGCGGAGTCCGTTTACTCGTGCCGCTCTGTAGAGCAGAACAGGCTTTGTCAGTGGACAGATCCCCTGCTGATCTAAACAGAGTCTGATCTAAACAGAGTCTGCCTCATGTGAAAGGGGCCCAACAGTATTATTATTATTATTATACAGTATTCATATAGCGCCAACGGTTTGTTCAGCGCTGTACATTATAATGGGAGACAGTACAGTAACAATACAATACACGAGGGGTTCGAGGGCCCTGCTCCTTGGAACTTACAATCTAGGAGGGAGAGGAGAGTGGTTCAGGAGGAAATAGCTGTGGGGGATGGAGTGGTGGGAAGAGCGGAGGAGATCAGCAATTAGGTGAGAGTGGGGTAGGCTTCCCTGAAGAGATGGGTTTTCATGGTGCCCCTAAAGGTGACAGTCTGATGGATTGGGGTAGTGAGTTCCAGAGGATGGGGGAAGCCCTGGAGAAGTCCTGGAGACGGGCATGGGAGGAGGAGACCAGGAAACTGGAGAGTAGGAGGTCTTGTGAGCAGCAGAGAGTGTGTTTTGGGTGGAACTCGTATCACCTGACCTCATCCTGGAATTTAATGTATTCTTTCTTGAACCTTGGTGTACTTTGTGTTTCTTCCAGATCTGTGCAGTAATCCTGTGTGAAACTTTGCCTCTGTGCAGGAGCTTTCTGTAATGAAGACAAGTCACTGCTGCTCTCTCTGTTTGTGCAGGGTGACTGGTCTTGTCTCCGCCCTCTCCTGTAGTTTTTCTGCAGACAACCAGTAGTGGGTGGAACCTAATGGCCCATCCCGCAACTACTTTTGCAAGGTAATATCTGGGTTTGCAAAGGCCCCTGGAGCACACAAATTGGATTTAAATCCTTTGTGGCTACTGAGAAATATATTTGGATACATATTTTTTCTGGAGTTTAGCTTTTTCATTTTGATGCGTGCCCCCCATGCATATTGCCTGCAAGAAATTGCATCAAAATGCAAAGGTATGCGGATATCTATTGTTTTCAAGGTATTTGGAGCTCTTAAGAAAAAAAAACAAACCTTCTGCATGCTGCACTTTCATTGCATTGCTTTTCATTTTCTCTTCCATGTTTTTAAACCCTTGATAAAGCACAATCCCTGAAAGTCATAGAAAGTGAGGTGGATACTCATTCATTGTCTTCTGTTGCAGAACCACTCTAATAGATCCATAGAGCATAGAAATGGACTTTTATACAACATCTGTATAAATCACCTCAGGAATAGATTAAAATTGCTGCCACAGGTAAAGATATGGATACACTGAATTACTAAGGTGGGTGGATATGCTATATAGAGCCAAGGCGCTGGTCTACAGTGGCAGGGGTGACATGAGATGCTGATGGCCAATAACACATTCCTATGTAAAATTTATCTGCCTCGTCATTATTGCATAAATTATGTATTTTATGGTGGGATACTATTAATATTATTATACAGTATTTTTATAGTGCCAGAAGGTTTGCTCAGCGCTGTACATTATAGTGGGGGACAGAATAGTGCAGAGTCTTACAAACAAACCCAACAGGTTAGCTTTACAGAATCACTACCCCCCCAAATAAATCAGCTGGAGTGATTACTGTGCTAGTGATACTGATAAAAAAGGAATAAAACACATGTCATGGGCGCCCATAAAAACACGGCAATTTAGGTGAATGTGAATTAATGTGTACAAACAAGTTCAAGTGTAAGTGCTGCACAACATAAACAAATCCCCACTATATATACGATATATAAAACATATTATGCATATATATATATATATATATATATATATATATATATAAAGAGTCCAAAGCAAAATCAAATTCCTGTGAAATATCAAAAGAAGCACATATCTTGTGGATGCATATATCTTCCTTCAGTATGTAGTGAACCTCCACCACACTTCTTCCTTCAGTATGTAGTGCACCTCCGGCACACTTCTTCCTTCAGTATGTAGTGCACCTCCACCACACTTTTTCCTTCAGTATGTAGTGCACCTCCGCCATACTTCTTCCTTCAGTATGTAGTGCACCTCCACCACACTTCTTCCTTCAGTATGTAGTGCACCTCCGCCATACTTCTTCCTTCAATAAGTAGTGCACCTCCGCCACACTTCTTCCTTCAATAAGTAGTGCACCTCCGCCACACTTCTTCCTTCAATAAGTAGTGCACCTCCGCCACACTTCTTCCTTCAATAAGTAGTGCACCTCCGCCACACTTCTTCCTTCAATACGTAGTGCACCTCCGCCACACTTCTTCCTTCAGTATGTAGTGCACCTCCACCACACTTCTTCCTTCAGTATGTAGTGCACCTCCACCACACTTCTTCCTTCAGTATGTAGAGCACCTCCGCCACACTTCTTCCTTCAGTATGTAGTGCACCTCCGCCACATTTCTTCCTTCAGTATGTAGAGCACCTCCGCCACACTTCTTCCTTCAGTATGTAGAGCACCTCCGCCACACTTCTTCCTTCAGTATGCAGTGCACCTCTGCCACACTTCTTCCTTCAATAAGTAGTTTACCTCCACCACACCAGGTGAAAAACCTGCTCCCCTTAAATATATTAATGCAAGCTCGTCAGAACTATCAGGGGCCTCCCTTCTTCTCCAGGCAAGTTCCACCATCCTCTGTGGCTTGCACTCAGAGACCAATGTCTATAACCAGCTCCTGTGTTCCCCCCAAAGTCAGCTCCAGCAGTCTGATGTGCTGGCATGTACCGTTGAAAGGGTCCTTCGTTTTATCACAGATGAATATTGAGCAATGTGATTCATATTGATTGGATATTACTATGCGTTTGGTATAGTAGATTGTTACACAATATCTGGGATTTTGTTTTTTTTATTATTATTAGTAGTAGTAGTAGTAGTAGTATTTCTAATTTAAGGAAACCGCACAACATATTTTTGCTAGTATGTTTATTTTAGTGCCCAAATCACAGTGATTGGGGCTGTCTCATGGTATTATTGTCTGTGAGTTTAAAGAGTATGTCACTCCAACATTAGATTTTTCCTGATCTGTGCCTGCTGTACCATGTACTTATGTGAAAAGGTATCCTGTTCCCTTTGTATAGCTTCCTTTGTGTGTTGGGAACTCAGTGTTGTCTCCTCCAATGATCAAACTTCTACTCACAAACCACCCCCAACCCCTCACCCCACAGCCATTCACTGGGAAGATTATTGTGGAGCTCAGAGGCTATGTGATCACTTATAAAACTGGGAAAAAGGTATTTATAATGTTTTTTTTTTTATATCTGTACACATGTGCTATGCTTTTCATTTCTATTTGAAAGTGAATGGGTTGTTTCACATGGTGAGTGTCACTGTAAGCACTTTTAGTGCAGTATTTTAGTTTAATGCCTCTAATTTAGTAACCTTTAAGTGGAACTTCTCCTGAAAAAGGAAGTTATGCTTTTTTTTTTTTTCTTTTTTTAGGGAGTGGGTTCTTTCAGGTATCCACTCCTACTTCTACTTGGATCGCTTGGGCAGTCTGGGCAAAAGTTCAGCCCCCCTATCCACAACCTCCTGGTATACATCACAGGTTCCAGGAGGCTGCAGGTCCATTTACAAACTACTACACGAATCATGCAGGTGTAGTGTGAAGCTGCTGGAAGTCACAGCCGGCTTCTTACATCCAAGATGGTGGCACTGAAGATGCTAAGGCCAGTTAAGAACTGGCCTTGGTGAGGACAGACCAGGATCCCTGAACTTGTAAGTTTGTGTTTATTAACCACTTACCTACCCCCCTATAGTAGATATACTGCTACAGGGCGGCCGTTCTGCGCAATATCATGTCAATATATGTGATTCTGCATTTCCAGGTAGGAGGCACCTGCTGCCCTACCCACACTGCCACTGGTTGCAGCGGATTTCAATCACTGGGTCCCAGCTGGCGATTATCAGGCGGCACTCGGTGATCGACGCTAAAGCTGAGAGGGGAGAGATCTGAGTGTAAACAACACAGGTCTCTCTCCTGTCAGCATGGACCTGCTGCTTTCTCTCTCTGCACAGCAGAGATACAAAACAGCATGTCTCCCTAGTAAAACAGTACACAGCACACAGTGTAACCACAACACAACACAACACACACAGTTAAGCCTTTGATTGCCCCACATGATAACCCCTTCCTGCCCAGTGCCATTAGTACAGTGTCAGTGCTTTTTATTAGCACTGATCACTGTATTGGTGTCACTGGGGATGTCAGTGGCCTTTAGTTCCCACCCAGTGTCAGAATGCCCATTGCAGTCCCACTATAATTCGCTGAACACCGCCATTACTAGTATTAACCACTAGCCTACTGGACATTTATGCCCCTTCCTGCCCAGGCCAATTTTCAGCTTTCAGCGCTGTCACACTTTGACAATTGCGCGGTCATGCAACCCTGTACCCATATGAAATTTGTATAATGTTTTGTGACAGAGCTTTATTTTGGTGGTATGTAATCACCTCTGGGTTTTTTATTTTTTCTTAAACCAAAAACCACTGAAAATTTTGAAAAAAACATTTTTTCTTAGTTTTTGTTATAAAATTTTGTAAATAAGTGATTTTTCTCCTTCACTGATGTGCGCTAATGAGGCTGTAGTGATGGGCACTGATAGGCTGCACTGATGGACACTGATAGGTGGCACTGATGAGGAGGCACTGGTAGGTGGCACTGATGGGCATTGACAGGCATCACTGATGGGCATTGACAGGCATCACTGATGGGCACTGAAAGGCAGCACTCATATATGGCACTGATAGGCGGCACTGACTGGCACTATTAGGTGGCACTGACGGGCACTGACTGGCACTATTAGGTGGCACTGACGGGCACTGATAGGCAGCAATGACGGGCACTGATTGGCAGCATTGATAGGTGGTACTGATTGGCAGCACTGATAGGTGGCACTGATGGGTGACACTGAAAGGCAGCTCAGATGGGCACGGACATGTGGAACTGATGGGCACTGGCAGGTGGCATGGATGAGTACTGCCAGTTGGCACTGATGGACACTGACAGGTGGCACTGCTGGGGCTACACTGATCATCAGGGCACACTGATCATCAGTGCTCTGATGATCAGTGTACATGTCCCCTCTGAGAAATGACGATTACCGGCTCTCCTCTCGGGCTGTCAGCGTGACAGCTCGTGAGGAGAGTAATGCCGATAACCGGCATTTCCCTGTTTACATTTGATCAGCTGTGATTGGACACAGCTGATCACATGACCGAGCCGACATCTGCTCTTTCCGTTGATCAGTGATCCACTGTGTCCAAGGGACACAGCACACCGCCGGTCGCCGCGCTGCGCGCTCCTGGAGCCACGCATGCGTGATTAGAATGGATATCGTATGACGTCCTCCCAGAACGAGAGAACCGCCTTGCGCCCGTCATTGTACTATATAAATAAAATTCCAGTATGTATACACCGCCATTTGTAGACGCTATAACTTTCACATAAACCAATTATTTACATGTTTTTGGCTAAGATCAAGTGTAGTATCTGTTCTTATCAGTTTTCAGGAGAGGGGATGTTGGTACCTCCTATTGGCTTGGGGCGCTGGATAGTACCTCTTCTGATGTAATTAGGTTGGAATGGTGAGAGTGGCGAGGGAGCTTTTTCCTCCCGGGATGAGTCTGGCCCGGTTTTACCAGGCTTGTCCCCGGTTGTAGGCAAGGCTCTCCCTAAGTTTTGATGCCGTTCTGGTAGGGATGGGGCTGCGCTGTTCTGGCCAAGGGCCGGACTCTGAAAGAAACCCGCGGTGTATATGCCCCTGGAGTGGTAGTCCAGGGGCGTCAAAATTCATACGGTGAAGGAGCTTACTTTGAGTTTTAGGCACTACATCAGCCACTCTTTTTTTTTTTTTTTTCACATCTGCCTCTAGGGCAGTGTTTCTCAACTCCAGTCCTCATGGACCCCCAACAGGTCATGTTTTCAGGATTTCCCTCAGATGAAACAGCTGTGGTAATTACTAAGGCAGTGAAACTGATCAAATCACCTGTGCAAAATAATGGAAATCCTGAAAACATGACCTGTTGGGGGTCCATGAGGACTGGAATTGAGAAACACTGCTCTAGGGCTGGGCCTTTTGGCCAGGACCAGAGGAATTTTTTATTCCTGGCTGAACGACCCACCATAGTATTTCACTATATCACTTTTCTACTTCCCCTCTCCCTTTTTTTTTCTATGTTTTTTTTTTATGACTTGCAGTTTTGCACAGCACTGTACGCACTTTCACTTTCCCTGATTAGTAGGATGTAGGTCCTCGGGCCTGCCCTGAAAGTCTTGGGGGGGGGGGGGAGGGAGGCATGTGGCCTTTTGATCAGGGTCTCCTCCTCTCATGGGAGTCTCCCTCCGGGGGGAGCCCCACATGGTACTAGGGATAGCCTTGCTTCGGCAGGCCTCCTGAAGAAATGGGTCTGCCTGGTTTCGGCCAGGTGGACCTAGTGAGTTCCTCAGTCCCTGTCAGGAGCCTTGCGTCCTGGGGGATCAGGGCTAAGAGCCTTTTTCTTTGGAGGAGGACCAAACATACACCCTGTGCACTTTTTTGTGTGCTTCACTTTTTGTGTGCTCACTTTTTTTTTTTTTTTTTTTGCACTGGGTGCTAGTTTTGTGTGTTCACTACACCACGGTTCTAAAAAACTAATTAACATGTATTGGGATTTTTTGTAACAAAGACATAAAGCAGAATACATTTTGACCTAAATTTATGAAGATTTTTTTTATTGGATATGTTTTATAGCAAAAAGTAAAAAATATAGGTTTTTTTTTTTTCAGAATTGACAGACTTATAGTGCAAAAAAAAAAAACCACAGAGATGATGAAAGCTCTATTTGTGGGGGGAAAAATTACAGAAATTTCATTTATGTACAGCGTTACATGACCATGCAATTGTCAGTTAAAGTAACACAGCGCCGTATCGCAAAGAATGGCCTGTTCAGGAAGGCAGGGTAAATCCTCTGGAGGCCAAGTGGTTAAAACTATTTGAAGCTGCTGACATTTATTTATGTATGTATTTTTGGATCGAAGATCTTTAAATCTCGTTTTTAAAATTAGAACTTAACTCTCTCAATCAACACGGACTATTTTTTAATCCTTTTGATGCTAGCATCAGTAAATAGATAGGAAAGTACAGTAGTCTACCCACCCGTTTAAATGTCAGGTTTCTGTGATGTAAAAAAAAAAGACAAAGATAAATAATTTCAGAACTCTTTCCACCTTTAATGTAACCTATAAAATGTACAACTCAGTTGAACAACTGAAATCTTCTAGGTGGAGGAAAGTAAAGCTAAAATAACATGGTTGAATACGTGTGCACACCCTTACACTAATAGTGTTATTGAACACCTTTTGATGTGATTCCAGCACTCAGTCTTTTTTGGGTATGAGTCTATCAGCATGGCACATCTTGACTTCCTTGCAAAAACACTCCAGATCTGTCAGATTGCGAGGGCTCTCCTGTGCACAGCCGTCTTCAGATCACCCCACAGATTTTTGATCGGATTCAGGTTTGGGCTCTAGCTGGGACATTCCAAAGCCATTCCTTTGTTGATTTGGAGTATGCTTTGGGTCACTGTCATGCTGAAAGATGAAAGTTCCTCTTCATGTCTCATCTTTCTAGCAGAAGCCTGAAGGTTTTGTGTCAATATTGACTTGTATTTGGAACTGTTCATAATTCCCTCTACCTTGACTAAAGCCCCAGTTTCAGCTGAAGAAAGACAGCCCCAAAGCATGATGCTGCCACCACCATGCTTCACTGTGGGTATGGTGTTCTTTTGGTGATGTGCAGTGTTGGTTTTTGCTCCAAACATATCTTTTGGAATTATGGCCAAAAAGTTCAACCTTGCTTTCCTCAGACCAGAACACATTTTCCCATGTGCTTTTGGGAGACTTCAGATGTGTTTTTGTAAAATTTAGCCGGTCTGGATGTTTTTCTTTGTAAGAAAAGGCTTCTGTCTTGCCATTTTACCCCATAGTCCAGATATATGAAGAATATGGGAGATTCTTGTCACTTGTACCACACAGCCAGTACTTGCCAGATATTCCTGCAGTTCCTTTAATGTTGCTGTAGGCCTCTTCGCAGCCTCCCAGACCAGTTTTCTTCTCGTCTTTTCATCAATTTTGGAGGGACGTCTAGTTCTTGGTAATGTCACTGTAGTGCTATATTTTTTCTCCACTTAATGATGACTGTCTTCACTGTGTTCCATGGTATATCTAATGCCTTGGAACTTCTTTTGTACCCTTCTCTTGACTGATACCTTTTTATCAATGTGATCCCTGTGATGCGTTGGATGCTCTCTGCAGACCATGGCTTTTGCTGTAGGATGCGACTAAGAAAGTGTCAGGAAAGACCTACTAGAACAGCTGAACTTTATCTGGGGTTAATCAGAGGCACTTAAAATGATGGCAGGTGTGTACGGACTCCTATTTAACATGATTTTGAATGTAATTGCTTAAATTGCTTAATTCAGAACACAGCTACATCCCCAGTTATAAGAGGGTGTGCACACTTATGCAACCACATTTAGTTTTTTTTTAATGTTTACTCCCCCTAAAAGATTTCAGTTTGTTTTTCAGTTGAGTTGTACAGTTTATAGGTCACATTAAAGGTGGAAAAACGTCTAAAAGGATCTATCTTTGTCTCATTTTTTTTTACATTATAGAAACCTGACATTTTAACAGGGGTGTGTAGACTTTTTTTAAACTTAAATGTTTACATTTCTTCAGTTACTTCCTCGTTTCCATGCCTAGGCAAATGAAGCCTAGGAGTTGTCCGGAGGAGGGGGTTTCTCAGCTAAGCATACCCTCCTGTCTGCATGCCTGAGCTAAGGGCAGGTTAATTCCAGGAAGTACATACGACATTAATCATCTGCCCTTTTCCGGGATGGTTGCAGGCAGAAATGCTAGGGGTTTTTCTTCAGTAAAATAAGACATTGAGGTAGTTTGCGGTGAATATTAAAAATCAATGTTTTTGGGTTGTGGTGCTTAGATGCTGTGAAGTTTTGCTTTATCTTTGCCACCCTGTGCTGCTGCAGTGGGATATATGGGTAGGGATCTGAAATCTGTTATTGAGGATAGTATATTCCTTCTGAAGATTTAAAGATGCCCTTCTATGAAAGGTGGCGGTGAGGAATGTGCATTTCATGGGTCAAGGGTTCTTTGAAGTATTTTATTTGAAGGGTCCCTTAGATTCCTCTCTCCATCAATGAGCCCCTCACACATGCTAAAGACTTATTGTATGACTTATGATCGGTAATTAGAGGGCTGAGCACAGGGACAGATCTCTAATAACATCTTCTAGCTATGGAGTTGTAAGCTGTCATTACCCATCCTCGCAATCACAAGCAAAGGTGAGATGAGGGGCTGGGCTCTCCTAGGGGACCTCTAGTAGCAGTGATCCGCGCTCACAAATCCCCGGTGGATTAACTCTTTCCATGGGACCAAGGCAACTATCCCAGGTATTTGACTAAGCAGTCACGTGTTTCTCGCCAGCCAACCAAAGACCTAGAGACAGAACAGAGCTTCATTCATCACCGCTCAGGTCTCCGTATCTTCGAACACTAGAGCGCCAAGTCAGGGCTACAACCGCATGACTCCAAGCCAAGGGTAAGCTGGCGCGGGTAACCCTATCGGAGCTGGTCCACGGGAAAATGGACGCTTCTGAAGGCCGGGTGCACTGCTATGAGGACAGTGTGTATAAGGTTCCTTCATATGTTATACACTCTATTTTTCCTTTTTACATGCTTAGGGTCACGTACGATTAGCACACGCCTTTCTGAAGACGTCACGGAAAAGGGTGGGATTACATTTTTCTGTGACGTCAGGGCTTAAAGAGCAAGATCCCGAGCTCCACGTTGCTGACAGAGGCCGTGATGTGCTCAGTGAGCCGGACACCGTGAGGATCCTGAGAGAGAGAGAGCTGAGACCGGTGAGAGACGGAGCCGGGCTCTGTGTTCCCTTCACTGACTGCATCCCCTACCCTGAGCTGTCACTGTGTCCCCTCATCCTGCATCCCCTACCTTGAGCTGTCACTGTGTCCCCTCACTGACTGCATCTCCGTACCTACCCTGAGCTGTCACTCTGTCCCCTTCACTGACTGAACCCTCTACCCTGAGCTGTCACTGTGTACCCTTCACTGACTGAACCCCCTACCCTGAGCTGTCACTGTGTACCCTTCACTGACTGAACCCCCTACCCTGAGCTGTCACTGTGTACCCTTCACTGACTGAACCCCCTACCCTGAGCTGTCACTGTGTACCCTTCACTGACTGAACCCCCTACCCTGAGCTGTCACTGTGTACCCTTCACTGACTGAACCCCCTACCCTGAGC